TCCCTCCCTGACCAGATATCCCTCCTCCTAGAGACAGGCCTGGCACTAGGGACCTGCCACACTTTGACATAAACAGATGAAATGTACCGGGAATTTCCTTCCCACACTCATCATTCTGGCACTTTATGTAACTTGCTGACAAAACCTATGACCCTTAATGCATGAGTCATAAAGGCAAGCATGAACTACGCATGCCCAGATGGGCGCTGTAAACGCTTCTGCGTTTCACCTTGCACAGGATGTAAGGGGGTGCCCAATAAATTAGCTCCCTCGGGGGCAATCTATTATCGTAGGCTGTGTGTGGGTAGGTAGGGAGGGAGGGTTAAAAGACACCTTCTTAGTAATTATATATATTCTCTCTCTCTTTCATTTTCCTTTCTCCTCAATGCACCCAGAACTCTCTCTCTCTCTCTCTCTCTCAGACACAGATCATCACCACCACCACAGGCAGGACACCGACTAGCAACACCTAACCTTGAATTTGACATTGTGACACAGCCGACTGTCTTGAGATTTTTTTTTTTTACATATAGTTACTCAAGACACACACACACACACCTTGTTTACTTAGAGCGCAAGTTTCATGTAGAAGTGAATAAAATGAACTTGATGAATAATAATATTTTAATCTTGGTGGTAATGGTGTAGACACAGTGTATAAGTGACGCGAATTGTTAAGAGTCAATATAGAATGTGTGTTACCTGATTATTGACGTCTCTACCACCTAAGCTTTTCGCCTGATGATCAATTAATTCATTTGTGACCCTGGACAAAAGACTCATTGGGGTCCTATGCAAGAGAATCATTTGGGGCTCTCTCATCACCGGTAAATTAATAGGTATAATATTTTGGGCTGCCATAAAGTGTGGAACGCCCACTTGCCCGTCACTAAGAGTAACCATCCACTCACTGCGCAGTGTACCATCGCTTCAGCTCGTGAGTAGAAGAAAAAAAAAAGAATTACGTCAATGCTCTTTTTTTTATCTGCACACACACACACACACACACACACACACACACATACACACACACACACACACACTTAACCTTCCTCGCGGCGACTTTGAATGCGCATAAGAGAACTAATTAACCCCAGACAGCTCAACCAGTGTTTGAGTGTGTTTCTGTCAGCTCCTTCTCAAACACTCTTCAACTAACCTAACCTAACCTAACCTAACCTAACCTAACCTAACCTAACCTATTAACTTAGATATATAATGAGTGCCCTAAACCCGAGTTGTCTTAGCTGGGTTAGGTTAGGTAAATTGAACAGTGCAAAGGCCTTGTTATCATGGGTTATTAATTACGTACTTTAGGGGAATATTTTCAGGTTTGGAGTTAGTATGGTGTATGTTTTTGATACGTGTGTGTGTGTGTGAGGAGGCATATAACTCGACTCACCTGAATTTCTTCGCTGTTTAAGAAAGCAGTTCCTCACACACACACACACGCACACACACACACACACACACACACACACACACACACACACACACAAGCAGTGACGTTAGTAGTAAACCCGTGTCATTTTTTTTGTGATAACCCGACAACAACACGACTGTACTAGAGCTTTAAATTCTTCCTCGTCCTCCTTCTCTCTCTCTCTCACAAGGCCGTTCCCTCCTTTCCCCCACCACGCTCCACTACGCTCCACCTCCCTTACATTTTCATTCCTTCAGAGCATCCGTGTGTGTGTGTGCGTGTGTATGTGTGTGTGTGTTTGTGTGTGTGTGTGTGTGTGTGCGTGTGTGTGTGTACAATGGCCCACCCCCACCCCCCATACAACCCCCCTTCATTTTCTTACATTCCAACATACTTGTCCAAACATACAGGGAGGGAGGGAGGGAGTGAGGGGTCTGCCACACATCGCGTCACCCTCCCTTCCTCCCTCCTTCCCTCCACTTTGACTTGTGACTTAACCAATGTTCTTAAAATTTCAGAAGTTTTAATACAAACTTTTCATTTTTGTTACATTTTACTAATTATCTCACCACACGAACTTTATAGAGATGTTTAAAATTAATGGATGTTTTTAGAATACTGATATTAACTTCCTTTAATTCATCGCCATAATGGATTGTGTTGACTAGAAGAAAAAAATAATTAAAATCGTCCGCCATGATAATATAAACAAAAAACACGTTAAGTCGACCTGAGACAGAGAGGATGTCCCCAGTGGATTCTCCCCATCAGCCACTCCCACTTCTCTTCACGGCCAAATCGGCCAAACCGTTTTTCATATTTGGCCAAATCTTTTTGGATGGGAAGCATAAGGCTATTTTTGCAATCCACTCAAAATAAAAGTCTCCCCTACAATATTCACTTAAAATGTCATAAAAAAAATTAACTTGGAATTAAGAGTCCAATAATTACATTAACATAATATCTGTAAATTACAGTGAAGATTTACCTTACTCTGAAATGGTGGTGGAGCATGATAATGGTGGTGGAGCATGGTAATGGTGGAGGAACTTGATAATGGTGGTGGAGCATGATAATGGTGGTGGAGCATGGTAATGGTGGAGGAACTTGATAATGGTGGTGGAGCATGATAATGGTGGTGGAGCATGATGATGGTGGAGGAGCATGATAATGGTGGTGGAGCATGGTAATGGTGGAGGAACTTGATAATGGTGGTGGAGCATGATAATGGTGGAGGAACTTGATAATGGTGGAGGAGCATGATAATGGTGGAGGAACTTGATAATGGTGGTGGAGCATGATAATGGTGGTGGAGCATGATAATGGTGGTGGAGCATGATAATGGTGGTGGAGCATGATAATGGTGGTGGAGCATGATAATGGTGGTGGAGCATGATAATGGGGGAGGAACTTGATAATGGTGGTGGAGCATGATAATGGTGGAGGAACTTGATAATGGTGGTGGAGCATGATAATGGTGGAGGAACTTGATAATGGTGGTGGAGCATGATAATGGTGGTGGAGCATGGTAGTGGTGGTGGAGCATGATAATGGTGGAGGAGCATGATAATGGTGGAGGATTTTGATAATGGTGGAGAAACTTGATAATGGTGGTGGAATAAGGGCGCCGGTGGTAGAGCGGTACCGCTCTTGCCTCGCAAGAGAGATGTCACTGGTTCGATTTCCGGGCCGGTGGAAAGTTGTTTGAACACACTTCCTAGTCCTCCTTGGTCCCTGTTCACCTAGCAGTAAAGTAGGTACCTGTTGTAAGTCGAAAGTTGTGAATTCGTATTCAGGGACAAGTTGTCTGAGCGTCCAATAACTTGATGACATAAACCATTGACTCCTCAGGCTTCTACGCCCTTGACAAAAAAAACCTATGACCCTTCAGGCTTGTACTCCCTTATCTCATGAGACACAAAGGCAAGCATGAACTTAGCATGCTTCCCAGATGGGCGCTTCTGCACTTCACCTTACACAGAATGTAGGGGGGTGCCCAATAAACTATAAAAAAAATGGTGGTGGAGCATGATAATGGTGGTGGAGCATGATGATGGTGGAGGAACTTGATAATGGTGGTGGACCATGATAATGGTGGCGGAACTTGATAATGGTGGTGGAGCATGATAATGGTGGAGGAGCATGATGATGGTGGAGGAGCATGATGATGGTGGAGGAACTTGATAATGGTGGTGGAGCATGATAATGGTGGTGGAGCATGATGATGGTGGAGGAACTTGATAATGGTGGTGGAGCATGATAATGGTGGTGGAGCATGATAATGGTGGTGGAGCATGATGATGGTGGAGGAACTTGATAATGGTGGTGGAGCATGATAATGGTGGAGGAACTTGATAATGGTGGTGGAGCATGATAATGGTGGTGGAGCATGATAATGGTGGTGGAGCATGATGATGGTGGAGGAACTTGATAATGGTGGTGGACCATGATAATGGTGGCGGAACTTGATAATGGTGGTGGAGCATGATAATGGTGGAGGAGCATGATGATGGTGGAGGAGCATGATGATGGTGGAGGAACTTGATAATGGTGGTGGAGCATGATAATGGTGGTGGAGCATGATGATGGTGGAGGAACTTGATAATGGTGGTGGAGCATGATAATGGTGGAGGAACTTGATAATGGTGGTGGAGCATGATAATGGTGGTGGAGCATGATGATGGTGGAGGAGCATGATGATGGTGGAGGAACTTGATAACACCAGTTGACGTAATCAAAACCATCTAGTCCGTCATCGTCCCCTGGTTCTTCCTTCTCGTACATGTTTACAGAGTTGAATAGCTCCATCATGTGTGGTGTTACATAGAAATATCTGCAAAATTTTCCTTGGAACTGGAGGTGTGAGCGAACACTAATAATTGCGTCCAACATTTCAGAAACGAGCCGATTTCGTAATTTGGTTTTGGCATAAGAACATAAGAATGGAGGAAACTGCAGCGGGCCTATTGGCCCATACACCCAACCCCTATCGCTCATATATCCAAATACCTATGTTTGAAGCTATCCAGCGTATTCGAGTTAATGATGATATTTGGTAACTCGTTCCACTCATCCACTATATTTCCAAACCAGTGTTTACCTATTTCGCGCCTAAATCTAAATTTGTCTAATTTAAAACCACTGTTACGAGTTCGCTCCTGGTTGGATAGTTTGAGTACCTTCGTAATGTCCCCTTTGTTTAGCCCTGACTTCCATTTATACACCTCTATCATATAGCCCCTCACTCTACGTCTCTCGAGGGAGTGCAAATTAAGATGCTTTAACCTGTCTCTGTACTCAAGGTTCCTAATGCCCGGGATTAGTCTTGTCATTCTCCTCTGATTAGGTGAGGTCATGACAAGGTGAGGTGCTAGACTTGTCTTCAAAATCCACTAGATGAAGAATTAATACGTGTCTTACAAAATTCGGCCAAATGGTTTGGCGTAATCATCTATTTTTCCAAGGCCAGGTAAATTTTTTACGGCCAAAGAAGATAAATTTGGCCGTGGAAGCGGCCATCTGGCAACCCTACAGCCAGCCAGGGTATATAAAAGCCAATGGGGGTTGAGCTGGTACCATCAGTTGAATCTCAGGGCTGGTACACGACACACGAGGTACTGCATCACTCATCTCTGCCCTGTGAATTATCAGCATTCTGGGTGACTTGTTTTTTTTTATCTGATACATTGCACTCCATTTTTATCAAGTATTGTTGGAAAAAGAACCGGAATAGACTTATTTTGATCCGTGAAGAAGTTTGTCAAGTTCTCCTTGAGAACTTGAAGAAGTCTCGTTGGGCCTTTTAGCACAACTCAAGATATGTCTGGCATTATCTTGAAAACATGGGTGATGCGGGCGACTGTGTGGGCGTGCTTGGCCACATATCTAGCCACAGGTGTTGTGGGCGCCGCAAGACACCACCACGATGATAGGTTATCCACGACCGACTCCTTCAATGACCTGTTGAACCGCCTGGAGACCTCCATAGACGAGAAGACTACGAGATTACAACGTGGTGTGACGGCAAGCTTCCCCTACCGGGTAAGTTAACAGTCTTAAAGCTTTACACTGGTAGGAAAAGAGTAAAGGAAGCTTGAGCTGGTGATTTACAGAAGCTTATTACTTGTGTGAGGGCCCACTAGTCATTCTACAACAAACTTTGAGGGATAAAATAATTTGGACTAACTAATAATGTCTTTGGCAAACATTATTAGTTATATTTTACTTTCTCTTCTCCCAACTATGCTCATTAAGCGTGTGGTTAAGGTTAGTACACAAAATATTCCCTCCCAGGATATTCTTGTTATATGTATGCCTGCGGTTTAGCAACTATGGTCTTTAAGTGTGTAAGTTAGTACATAGAATAATAACATAAACGTCAAGAACTTAAACTTTCACTTCACCGCCGCTTGTGACTTGCCGTCTCTGTCGGCCACGAATGTACTGACCAACTGTAGCTTAGTATGACTCCGAGTACGTACTGTTTACTATTAACTCATTCATCAAAGCTTTTCTTTCATTTAATTAGTCTATTATTAGTGACCTGTGTGCTTACTTAACTAGAATACTAATTTAAAAGACCTTAGTTAATTAAAGCAAGATTGTAATTTGATACCAGTGTAGACGTCGATGGTATGAAGTTATCAGATTGAATATTGATCTCCTTTTGTGCTTTTAATAGTATATTTTTTATGTTTTTTTTCCTTTGCTGTGTTAAATAATATCCTTCATATATATTTTTTATAGTTAGTTTAGGGTTATATAACTGCTATAATCTATCTATCTCGTTAGTACTTTGACCACACGAAGAAACATTATCGATACTGTACCATTAATTGTTGTTGATGCTCGCTAGACAGATTGTAAATTTGACTGTCCTCATTATCCGACACGAAATATTATGAAACTACTAAAATGCCTACAAGATTCACAAACACACACACGCACTCACACACACACACACACACACACGCACACCCAAATTCACTCAAAATGACACAAACAATTCGTAAGAGTTACTCATCGAACAACAAAAGAAAGCGTATGTTACAGTCGATCCATTTTCTTATCTCTCAACCTGTCAGACAGTGGACTGTTCTAACTGGCTCCCTCTGACTGTGTGTGTGATGAAGACTGATAACTGGAAGCATATCCCTAGACTGTGTGATGAGGGATAGATAACTGGGAGTATTTGTTTACCTGCAAAATACCGAAATAACTGATAATTGCGAGGAGAGACTTTTTTGAAGGTGGGGTTTTCGTGTTGTTAAAATATTACTGCGGTGACAACAAAAGTCTTCAAGCGTAATAAGGTTAAGTAATACACTAGTGCAACAACATTAAAAATTTATGGGTGATAGAACTCTCTGTGTATGTGGGCTTTTGACATTATTATTATTATTATTTATGTTATTTTCTATAAAAATGAATACACACAGATTCTCTCTCTCTCTCTCTCTCTCTCTCTCTCTCTCCCTCTCTCTCCCTCTCTCCCTCTCAGTTCATATTGGAGTCAACCATCGATAAGATCAGTCGCATAACTTGAATAGATGTCCTGATTTAATGGATAGACAGACAGACAGACACCGGTTAAAAAGGTGATGAACCGTAGAGTGAATTGTCTTGTTAACGAAAGTGAAAGAGTTATCTCGGATCACCTGAAGATTAGACCCCTCTGTTTATTTTACCTGGTGACTAAATACCCTATCGTTAACCTAACCTAACCTAACCCCCAGATATGGTTAGGGTGTGGAATCATCAGGTGAAATAAGCTAGGGAGGCTAATCTTCAGTTAATTCCTTATATTACTTTTGAAAATTACAGTTCATTAGGTGATTCTTAGAGCATAATAAATATTTACATTAATATTACAGTGTAAACAGAAAATAGTGTGTATGTGTGTCTGTCTGTCTGTCTGTGTGTGTGTGTCTGTGTGTGTGTGTGTGTGTGTTTGTCTGTGTGTGTGTGTGTGTGTGTGTCAGTATCTTGAGAGGATCACGTCGGACCACCGGGGTTACCTGTACACCTTCTGTAGCCATATTTGTACCTGTGTCGCCTGCTGCTGTGTGTGGGGGGGTTAGTTGGTGGAGGAGGGGGTAGTTGGTGGAGGAGGGGGTTGATGGTGGTGAAGGGGATTAGGGGGTGATAGTGGTGAAGGAGGAGTTAGAGGAGGGTAATGTAGTATGACAAGGGACCAGCATTCCTCCCCTCAGTAACTCACCTCATCCCCCCCCTCTCCTCCGTCCTGCCTCCTGATCCATTTCTAAGAACCTCTCCTTGAACAACCTTTAAGAACCCCCCCTTCCCTCTCCTCCTCCCTTCTCCCCCTCACCAAACTAGAACTTCCTTCCCCTCTCCCCTTGGACAAGCCTAACAGCCCCCTCCGCCTCCTTCCCTTACCCATTCATCCAACCCAGACCAACATCCTCTCTCTCTCTCTCTCTCAGATGAGGTAAGTAAGGCTTCCCACTACACGTCTGGAGGTCATTTTTAGCCTTTTTGTTTTAGGTGTGTAAGCGACGTAAACAGATGCGGTAGCTATACGGTTGATGAGTTATTAATGACGTGTTTAATGACTTGATGGTCTTATTTAATTGATTCTCTCTCTCTCTCTTACAAGGAACTAAAAAGAAAAGAAAAAAAAAAGAAAGGTGGTTTTGTCACTTCAACGCCTCCTAAGGGGTAATATAATGCTACCCAACTTCACATAAATGTCAGAAGAGTGATTATCACATTTTGTTTAAATGGATATATAAGCCTTTAGTGATAACATCTGCGGGCAAAAAGGTCGTAAATGAATCCTGACCCAGCTCCCAGCTTCTTAAAGCTGATTAAGTAGTGATTAAGTGGGGTTTTTCTAAGTTATGAGAAACGGAACGATGGGAGAATACTTATTATTATTATTATTAGTAGTAGTAGTAGTAGTAGTATTTTATTACTATTATTTTTTTTATTATTATTATTGTTGTTGTTGTTGTTATTAATAGTAGTAGTATTAAGTGGTTGCTTCTGAGCTTATGAAGAGAAGGTGGGGGGGAGGGGGGAGTTAGGATGACTGTAGTTATGGGTAGAGGGGGGGAAGAGTTAGATAGATAGGTAGATAGATAAGAAGCTATGGAAAGAGAGGAACATTCCCACGAGGTGACAAGTATGTTTATCATCTGACGGGGCGGGGCGGGGCGGGGCGGGGAGTAAACGAACCCTAAGCGTATGTTGCGTAATCCTCATACGCCATATATCTGTTTTAGTCTCTCCTTATCTCCGGGATCTTAAGCTGAGGGAGTGTGAGAGAGGGGGTGGGAGAGGGAATCAGTCTTAAAAAAACTTGACTAAAGAGAGAGAGGGAGAGATAGAGAGAGGGGAGGAGAGAAAATGAGAGATAGAGAGAGGGAAGGAGAGAGAGATAGAAAACAAGAGATATAGAGGTTACGATTAACAAATTTATTGGGAAATCTTCGAGAACAGTTCAGTCAGGTCTTGACACTGAGGGTGATGTCACTGTTCACTGCCACACAGGACAGAGGTTCATATACAGTAGAAATCATATTCTATTTGAGGACTAATCAGTGTGGCCTAGCAGCAAATTTTGGATAAGCAGCAAGACTGTTTTCAAGTACTCCTGATTTAATGTAGTAATTACAAAGTTCATGATACAATTAGCCAGGTGGCCTGAAGCCTTTGATAGTGTCACATTCAATAATATAGTGTTCACGTGTTAATCTTTAGAGGTTTATCACAAAGTTTACATGCTGTCTGTATTGTAGCCTAATTGGGGGAAGGACAGAGAGAGGGAAAAGAGAGGGCGAAGGAGAGAGACAGAGAAGGGGAAGAAGAGTCAGACAGAGAGAGGGACATTTACTTACTAGAACTGCGAGGTGTCGTCTTGAGAGGTGGCGGGCCAGGGAGAGTCAACCCAAGTACTTTATCTAGTGTGTTAATCACATTCCTTGTAGTGGTATGTATGTGAGGACAGTCTCTCTCTCTCTCTCTCTCTCTCTCTCTCTGTCCATTTAAAACACCACAACTAATTCCAGCTTAAATTTCTGTACCGCGATCATTTCTTCACAGACATAACAACAGTCAACAAATTTAATCGCCTTAGAAGTAGACAGAAGTGGGTGTGTGACTCTGACTCCACCCACTGTCTTCACTCACCCGTCTCCAACCCCCCCCTTCCGTGTCCACCCCCCCCCCCCCGAGGTCCTAGCAGCAATAGTTGTGATGGTGTTAGTGGCCGGTTCCTGCTGGTGCTGTGGCGCCATAGTGTCGCTCCATGTGCTTTCTCTGTCTCTCTGTCTCTCTCTGTCAACTTCTCTCTCTGTCTCTCTCAACAGTATATACCAGTTTTCCTGATATTATTGGTCTCTTAGCTCTCTCTCTCTAGTTTTCCTGATTTTCAAGAGTAAAATTATTAATATGATCAAAGGTTCCCAAGAAAGTATGTAGTGAAGTGATTGTTTATTGTTTATTCCATTATTGTTAGTCGAGGTTCCAATATTTTTTCCCCGGTGAGATTATACAGTCTTCCAAAAAAATTTCAATATGGTTTGAACTTTTTTGATCATCTTGATTTTTATTACGAATTGTTTTTGTTAATAAGGTTTTCTTTATTTTCTAGTTAGTTAAAAGTTCCACAAATTTCATAATATCGTGTGAGAGTGAAATGAGTTTAGTGTCGTGATCGTTTTAGAAGACTGTTCTCTTGTCTGGCTGTATACAGTCATGCACAGCTGTCAATTTATCACGTGCTCCAGAGTTTTCCTAACACGATCTTATACTTCAAAAGTTCTTAAGGTGAGTTTTCTGATGTTGTGTGATCTTTTTAGGCATTTTTTTTATTACTTATTGGGCACCCCCCTACATCCTTGTGTAAGGTGAAGCGCAGAAGCGTTTACAGAGCCCAACAGGGAAGCATGCTAAGTTCATGTTTGCTTTATGTCTCATGAGTCAAGGGCGTAGAAGCCCTTGACAGGTACCTACTTTGCTGCTAGGTGAACAGGGACCAAGGGAACTAGGAAGAGTATCCAAACAACTTCCTCTGG